AAAAAAATTTAAAAAAAAAAAATTTTAAAAAACTAGCCAAAAGCGTGGCCAAATAATTACCCCCCCCACCCCCCACAAAAAAAAAATTTTAAAGAAAAAAGGGGGGGGGGGGTGTGATTATTATTATTATTAATTTATATTACTTTAATTTTTTTTAGCGTGACAACCCCTCTCGATTTAAAAAAAAACAACTAAATATTTCATGACCACTAAGAAAAGAAATGCTGCTAAAAATCCATATAAACCTGATTTTCCGTGTCTTTTCGCATTCCCCGGATATTGCCTCACTCACCCACTGTGGGTGCTGGCACCCATGCTTCAGAACCCTTGATGTATATAAATAGTTCAAATACGATATAGAAGTTCGACCCTTTTTTTTTTTTTTTCCACATATATCTCTATTTTCAAGTGTTGCTTTTGCTTGTTTACTTGTAAGATCTATTTGAATAAAATACGATGAATACGATACGATTTCTTGCTCACCTGCAACGTAACGTCTTTACAAGACCACCTCATCCCGTCTTTAACGCTTTACAGCTGTCTCGTTTTGTGTGTGTGTTTTTATATGCAAATTTGTGTGTGTGTGTGGAAGAACCGATCACCGTTTAATTGCGTCATTGTGAGAACAATTTTAATGAAAAAAAACAAAAAAACAAAACAACATGATCTAGTTTTCGACACCACATTTCTTCCATATCTCTCCCGGATTCTCTAGTGCGGTCCAACAGCAGCTCCTCTTAATGACCATCAACAAAGATTAGGGTCTGTCGCGACCTCCTTCGTGGCGTTCGTTGCACTCTGTCTGGGGAAAAAAAAAAACAAGTTCTTCACTCACAATGTCTTTGTTGGAATGTCACCATGTTATCTCTAACTTTAAAAGCGCTGGAATTTCACATTAAAAATAAAATAATTAAAAACTAGGACGACTCTAGTCCTGTCTTGTTGATGCTTACGTAGACCATGGGGCAGTAAAGTGTCGATGGCATTGGTGATCACGTGACGATGACAGACGCTGGAGGCCAGTCCTTGTGATTGTTTTGAGCCTTGAGCGTGGAAGCTTTAGTAAATAAATAACATCTGATCTCATACTCTAGCAGATTGAGGGGGCCAACAGTGAAACGGACTGTAACCTTGCATGCTCTAACACCTACAAGTGACCTTATTTATTTTTTTTAATATTTAAACCACCATTGGATTTGTTCCATTATTTCAAAGTATAAAATGTTTTGCTTAATTTCATATGTTCTTAAAATATCCAATTATTTTAAAAAAAATGAATTAATCGTCTCTGTCTACTCATAGTACGTTATATGTGTTTGAAACAAGGAACAAAGAAAGAGAAAACTAAAAATGTGTCATAATATCCAAACTACTTAATGAAGGT